GACGCACTTCAGGATTCCACTAGCGATGTGTCAGCACAGACAACGATATACATACATTTGTGTGTGTATATATATATATCTATATATACACATGTCTCTATATATAAATGTTTTTGTAGATGCTATTCATCATAGCCACACTTGCACATACATTCACACCGTAAGCGTATGTTCTTAGTTGGAAAGTGTGGCAACATACCTGATCAGGGTTAGTTACAAAGCTACTGGGTCAACCACTATCTTTATATCTATTCATATGTACATATGTGTATATGTTTACGCATCTGTATATATAAATGTGTATGCTTATGCATGCATGAATGTATGTATGTCTGCATAAATGCATGCATGTATACGTATATGTATATGTATATGTATATGTATATGTATATGTATATGTATGTTTGCATGCATGCATGCATGCATGCATGTATGTATGTATGTATGCATGCATGCATGTATGTATGTATGTATGTATGTATGTACGTACGTACATGTGTGTGCATGTGTGTGTATGTGTGTGTATGTATGTGTGTATGTGTGTATGTGTGCATGTGTGTATGTGTGTATGTGTGTGTATGTATGTATGTATGTATGTATGTCTGTATGTCTGTATGTCTGTATGTCTGTATGTCTGTATGTCTGTATGTAATAATATGTATATATATATATATATATATATATATATATATATATGTCGGCATGTATCTTTATCAACGTATATATATATATATATATATATGTGTGTGTGTAGACATACATACACATATTATATACGTAATCAATTGAGAACGGGCTGGGCCGCGGATGGTCAGAGCGTCCAAAAAGGCCTCGGCAAGGAAGCCAACATCGTTGATTTTGGCAAGGTTCTGGCTACACTCTGGCCTCGGGAATCTGCTTAAGGAGCTCTCCTCCTTTGATCGACCTCCTCCAAGATGGCCCCAAAGGCTCCAAAGGGTGCTCAGAGATGTGCCCAGGAGGCCCTCTAGGCCCCCAAGGGACCCCCAAGAGGCCTCGGAGAGAAGCCCCAAATCATTGATTTCACAACGGCTCTAGCCACATTTTGGCCTCCTTGGGGGTACCCCAAGTAAGGAACCCTCTCCTTTGATCGATCTCTTCAAAAGATGGCCCCAAGATAGGCTTCCAAGGGTGCCCCCAGACGACCCCACGAGGGGCCCAGGAGGCCCCAAGAGGCTCCCACGATGCCCCGAAGATGCCCCCAAGAGGCTCCGAAGAGACGAGGTTCAAAGATGCCCCCAGAGGCACCCAAGACACCTCAAGATGCTCCTGGGACTGCCAAAAGACGCCCAAGACGCCCCAAGACGCCTCCACGAAACTCTCGAAAGAAGTCCGAGGAGACTCCGGAAGGCATTCCAACCTTTCTGCTCGCCTTCCTCCTCCTCCTCCACCTTCCCATCTTCTTCATCCACCTGTTCCGCCTCCTTGCTCCTTCCTCCTCCCCCTCCCCCTCTGGTCAGGGCGGCAATGGATACTTATGTGTTTATCTTTTGGTAAAATCAGGCTTCCCTCGTGTCTGGATCGGGAAGCTCGCGCACCGTGACCGCGTGGGCGCCCACGGACAGAAACAGCTATGGAAAGAAGGCGGGCGACGGGGATAGGGAGGGCGAAGAAAAGCAAGGGCTGATGCAATTTGGTCGGAAATGATTCGGAATATCTCTGCCACCTGGGCATTTCGATACCTCTCCCTCTGTGTTGCCAGATACTCCTGGTATGACGTGTCGCGCCGCTCCAAGAGGCGGTGGGCCTTCTGTACCTTCTGGGGCATGGCCTCGGCTTCGCGCCGCTCTTCCGCCAAACATCCTAGCCGCTCTTCCGCTTCTTGCCTCCTCCTCCTCCTCCTCCTCCTCCTCGTGCTCCTCCTCCGATTCCTCCTCCATCCTCCCCCTCTTGTGGTACGACCTCCTACCCAGCCCTTTTATTCCACTGCATTCTCCTCCATAGCGCTGATCAAGGCAACTCGCCTGAGCATCGTTTCTGGAATTGCTGGTGGGGTTACTTCTTGGTACGCGGGCGCGCGAAACGAGTCGAACGCCGTGCAAGCTGGGGCAGGCCGTGCCACAAGCTAAGGAACAACCTGGTGGGTTTAGCGTCTAGAATTTCGAGAAAGGGGGAGGCACACCTCTTCTGACCCCTTCCTCCCCGTGCTCTTCCTTCCTCTCCTTGGAGACCGCCCAGAAGATCTTGGTTCACGGGCCTCTGCGGGCCATATCTCTTTCGCCCCAGCCCTGGTGCCAGAAGCGTTACGTGTTCCTCTGATCGGGGGGAGGGGGGTGTACTGATTGATTGACAGGGCACGATGGGCGAGGCGTATGAGGACAAGGAAGATGATGAGGCCATGGCAGCCGCTTGCTCAGGAAGGCCTCCAAATGCATCTGCGCCAAACGTGCAATCAGCACTCTCAGGAACTGCGGTCGCTCATGCCTTGCGCAACGCTGCACAAACGCAAAGCGTGTCGGACGCAGAAAACTGCGCGTTCGAACATATTAACAGCGTCCTCACTAGGGGGGGCAATACATGAAATGTTTTCCCCGTTCGTCAACTCTGCTCGTTTCGATCCCACAAGCGCTGCCACCCAACTAAAACGCGGAACATGCGGGAGAAACGATCGGACGAACGTGGAACCGGTCCATTTGACATACAGGACAATCATATCCAAGGCGCCTTCGGGAATGGCCGCCATCGTGAAATGGATACCTCGAATCGGAATGAAATCACATTCCATCGGCCTGCATGAGTGCAGATTGAGCGCGACGGCCAAGCCTAAGTGCAACACTTCACTTGCGAACAGCAATGGTTGTATATAGTCCTGTCTATAATCCGCCACCGTGCCATTGGTTCTGACTGAGTTGCATGTCCTCAAATCCTTTTGAGTCTTCTGCGTCGACTATTGTACATCCGCCACCGTGCCACGACGCAAAGTCGGCTGGCGTGGCCTTTGAGTGGCAAGTTGGTCTGTCATTGTCGTTTACGTCAACGGTGATCTTGTTTTATGTTTTTTGGTGCTGTACCGCTGCCAGAAGCGCCCGATCAAGCTGCACGCGGTGGCGAAGATTATGCGACTCCCACGCTGGCTCTGCATGCCATATGGGAGCGTGTCAAAGTGCACCGTGTAAAGAAACGCTGGGAAACAACATGTCTACCGTTGAAAACAGACATCTATGAGCACTACCCCAGCATGTCCTCAAATCTCTGCGAATCCTCAATCACCAATCCAATCTTCTCAACGCTCGCTTAAAGAGCCGAGACGCCTAACTCACGGAATCTCCAGGGTGTGTCGCCTGCCTTCTGGGGTGCGTCTCGATGCCCGCTCAAGGGCCCGAAAACGGGCCGACAGGGCCGCAAGATGCCCCCCAGACGACTCAAGAGGCGCTCGAGACGCCCAACGGCGCTCCAAGACGGCCCAGGATGACCTTAAAATGGTCCAGTGGGCATCAGGGGCACCAGGGGAAACGCGCACGGGCATTCAGAGCCTTGCGCCAAACACCCCCGACAAGCTCCGGCCAAAGAGAGGCCCCGCGAGGCCTCAAAACTGCAGATGCCTCCCACCAGACAGCTGCTCCAGAAAAATGCCAGCCCAAGACGGCTTCAAGACATCCCAAGAGGCCCCCAATACGGCCCAAGAGGCCTCCAAAATTACCTCCCCATTGACCCGAAGACGTCAAGCGAATGGTTGCGCCGTAAAGATTCGAAGTCTTTTCAAAATCTCCCTATGTGTATATACACATCTGCATCCTCGCCATTTCGGGCTTCCGTTAATTCCAGATGGCCCACGAGGCCTCCGAGATGGCCCCGAAACGGCCAAGACACGTCCTAAGACAACCCAACAGAGCCTCAAGATGGCTCCCCCCTCAAGACGGCCCAAGAAAGCCCCAAGACGGCCCTGAAGGCGCCAAACGGCCCAACATACTGCTCAATATAACACTAAGAGGGGCCAAGAGGGCGCCAGGAGGCCCCCAAGAAAGGCCAAAAAGCCAGATAAGAGCCTTACGGCAGCCCCTGGGCAACCTCAGAGGGCTCCTCCCCCGTGTTCCCCCCAATGGTTTCCCCAAAGACTGGGGGAACACGCTTTTGCTCCACTACTTTTCAACCCATAGATAACTCCCAAAGAGCAAGGAGCGGCGGTGATTCGCCAGAAGCGTCTTCGACCCGACGCCCGTGGGCCCGTCACAAGGGTGCTGAGCGTGCTGGGCTTCATGCATTTTTTGTTCCTTACAACAGAGTTCCTGGTGGCCTCCAACCCAAGCCGCCAACACCACGGAAACTGCTTCCGACCAGAATCTGAACAACGTCCGTCTCCACGACAACCAAGGTGGCCTGCAAGACGGCCCAAAACGGTCACTGATACCCTCCAATATTGCTCAAGCCAAGACGGGCCAAAACGACTCGAAGACGGCCCAAGGTTGCCCTGGAAGAAGCCGCTGATTAGTGAACGGTTTTGAACATTTTGCTGACTCTCGCCTTCTTCAGAGCGTCCCAGACGGCCCAAGAAACCCCCAAGGCTGGGCCAACACGACCCAAAAGGGCCCCAAGAGGACCCGAGACAATCAAGAGAGTCCCAAGACCGCTCTGAAGGGCTACAAGATGTCCCGAAGACGACCCAATGGAACCCCCAGTCGGCCCCCGAAGGACCCAGACAAGCCAAGAGTGCCACACGACTGCCCAAGAGAGCCCCAAGATGGCCCAAGAGAGCCACAGGAGGCCCCAGATAAGGCCCAAAAGGTTTGAAAAGAGCTCCAGGATCGCCCCAAGACGGCCGCTCCCCCGTGTTCCCCCATTGGGTTTCCCAACAACTCGGGTAACCTGCGGTCCACTAGAATTACCGTGCTGACGCCCGACATTCCACCACACAAGCGTTTCCAGAAGAAAAAGGTGGCAGCAATTCGGAGACGTTTTCGTCAGATGTTGGACGATCGAACAGACGTATGAATAGGCAGAACTGCGGCAAGAAACCCAACACCACTTCGAAAAAAGAGACGCTTTTGCTGCCGCCACCACTGCAACCATCCCCTTCAAGGCGCATTACATCGCAATGCCATCCTGCAACACTTTGTCTTCGCCGAGTACTATTCGCACGCCGGAGTCAGACTAAAACGCCCGCACTGCATGTCATGGTCGCACTAAGTGCACCAATCAAGCCAGCCTGCCTACACTTCGCCATTCTTCAGTGACAATACGCCTTCTCTTCGCGCAACACCTGTCCCGACAACTCTGCAAAAACGAAGTCGGGGAGCCCCCAAGAACGGCTACCGCTGTGCAACGTATCCGTAGTACAATCATCGGCTGCGCGTGTGCAACGTATGATGCCGCAGAGTCAGCAAACACCGAAACAGTGTCTCTGGTTACAGAGCCCATATGAGAACACAGAACCCGTCTGGGCAGTCCCCTATGTGAGTCCAACAGTCATGGGATGCACATGCGAACCTGTGCCTGGGCAAATGAGCGCGTGCCCCATGCTTAAGAACCCTGCGACTGCGCAACAGCGACCCTACGGGAAAGCGACGGTGCGTGTGCATGCGTGCGCACACACTCACACACAAGCCTGCGGCCACAGGCCCTTCTCAAGTCTCGGGCCACTCTGCTCGGCTAGCCAGGAGTATGCTTCTGTCGGCAGCTGTCGCCGCACATCTGACTCCGCCCATCTCAACTTGCCCCTCTGCTTGCTTGCTTCTTCGCTGCCTGCCTCCGCTTGCCTACTTTGCCTCCGTGTCAACGCCTCTGCTTTTGTCTATGCCTGCCAGCCCTCCCCCCCCCTCCGCTCCCTCTTTCCCCCACCGCCCCGCTACCCCTCATCTCCCCCCTCCTTGCGCTTGACAGTCTGCCAATCGCGGAAGTGCTTGCTCAAAGCCTTCAACCGCTCGGGTGGCACGTTGATCGGGTCGTCGGTCTCCTCGCCGCGAGCGCGCCGGCTAGAGTCCCCCAATGGCTTCCACGGCGCTCATGGCTCCTACCCCTCCTGGCCCGTTTCTCCTCCCTCATCCTCCATCACTCCTCTCTCCATCCTCCCTTCCTCCCCGCCTTCCTCAGATCCCTGTCGTCGTCGTCTTCCTACTCCTCCACGCTGGTCCCGCGCCCCCGCCTGTTCCTCGTGCTCCTCCCGCCGCCGCTGCTACTTGTCCTCGTCATCGTCCTCCTCCTGCGCTTCCTCCTCCTGTGCTCTCACTCTTCTTGACTGCAACATCAAGAGCAGCCGTTTGCCAGCGGGGCCAATTCAAGCGGCAGCCCCCTGCTGTGCGGGATGAGCAGGCTGACAGCACGGCTCACGGTGGGCCGTGCTCCCTCGGCCGCTTTGGAACCCACCCCTTCTGCATCTCTCTGCCCCTCCCCTCCCTCCCCTCCATCCCCTCCCTCCCCTTACTCCCCTGCATCTGGGCCCCCTCCCCCCTTGCCCCCTCCCCCCCCTCCCCCTCCTCCCCCCCCTCCCCCTCCCACTCCCTTCCCCACCTGCCTCTCCCTCCTCCAAGCCCTGCATCCATCCTACCCTTCTTCCCTCTCCCTCCTTCTTCATCCCTCAACCCGTCCCTTCCTCGCCCTTTCCGTCTCCCTTCCGCCCTTGGCCTCCAAGACCCCCAAATGCAGGCACTCACTCTTGCCACGCAGCCGCGAGCGTATCTATGATCAAGCGATCAGCGTCGACATGCCAGGTGAGGAGCGGGGCGAGGAGGAGGAGGATCAGCAGCAGAGATAGATGGGGAAGACGGTGGGCGGGAGGAGAAGGCTTTATCCTCATCCTCGTCCTTCTCAAGCTGTTGCTGCTCGTCGTCATCGTCGGCTTCCACATCCTCCCCCTCCTCCTCATCCTCCTCATCCTCCTCCTCCTTCTCGCCCTGCTCCTCCCCAGACAAGACGACTACTCCGCCAAGAGTTTTTTCGGCGTTCCTGCACCCCCCTTCCCAAGGGGTCGGTCTCCTCAAGCACCTTCTTCAGGGCGTCGACCTCCTCATCGGGGAGGTAGAACAGAGACCTGAGCATGAGTAGCAGGATGAGAAACAGTCGGTGGAGGAGAGGGAGGCGTAGAATATTACCAATGCGACGGCGACTGTTATGGTCAGGGGGAAAAGACAAGTGAGAAAGAAAAGGCGCAGGTTGGAGGCGGAAACGGATGAGGCATAATGTGATGAAGGGGAGATGGCGGTCAAGGTGGATAACCACTTATTCTCACGATGAGCCGCCACCGTGCCACCCCTGGCAAGTGGAGGCACTGTAGAATGCCAAGTGCTGTCTGGCGGTAGGGTTTCTGTCAGTCTCCTGCGGACCCCCCGAGCCCCCCACTCCTCACTGCATGCGTCGCCCTTCTTCCCGAAGGCTTCCTGGCGGCCCAGCGCGTCCCTGCGGCTCTCCGAAGATCTCCAAAGCTTCCAAGACGGCCCAAGAAAACCACCAAACCCAGGATGCATGCAGAAGACCTCAAAGGGCACCCGACAACTCCCCCCAAAGACCCCAAGGCGTGCCAAAGGGCCCCCAAGACGCATGCCAAGACGCTGGAGAGATGACCAAGAGACTCTCCAAGTAGGCCAATATCATTCAAAGCAGAGAACGCCTTCAGGCGGCCTTCGCGGCTCAATCTGTTTCCCAAAGTGCCTCGGAGAAGCGAAACAGAGGTACACTTTATCAAATGAGGGCCCAAAGAAGCCATTCAGACGACACATGGCATCCCCCAAGGGGCCCCAAGGCGGCCCACGGCGGACAAGATAATCATCACAGAGTAGAGCAGGCAGGAGGAGCAGCAGGTTCAGGAGCAGGAGCAGGAGGAGGAGGAGGAGCAGGAGGAGGAGGGGGAGGAGGAGGAAGAGGAGGAGGAGGAGGAGGAGGAGGAGGAGGAAGAAGGCGAGAAGGAATGATGGAACGAGGAGAAGAGGATTATGCTACCAGAGATCGGGGGATTATACAGTTAATGCATAGGGAAACGAGGATGCTGCTGCTGCTGCTGATGATGATGCTGCTGATGTTGATGATGATGCTGATGCTGCTGCTGCTGCTGATGCTGCTGCTGCTGCTGATGATGATGATGATGACGATGACGATGACGATGATGATGATGATGATGATGATGATGATGATGATGATGATGATGATGATGATGATGATGATGATGATGATGATGATGATGTGGAGGAGCACGGTGGCAACGTCGAGAGCGACACAGAGATGCCGTCACCGACGGCGCCAGGAGGCACACGGCACGCACGGGGCAATGGGGGCGGGGAGACGAGCGTCGGGAGACCAACTGGGGCGTCGGTAGCCTCGTCCTGGCCGTCGGCCGAGGGCGCGCTACAGCGGGCGCATCAGCAACGGCATCGGGCTCCCGTGGTTTGCCGTTCGCCGCGGCCTGCCGGAGCTGGCGCTCGGCTTCGGCCTTGATGGCCGCAAGGCGCTCCTTGCGCTGCTCGACCCCCTGCGAGGACAGGGCGGGCAGCTCGCGAGGCGAAGCCTCGGCAGCGCCCGCGGCCGCCAGCGGGGCGGTCGCGGGGGCGGGGGCGGCGTCCGCAGCGGATTGCACGGCGCCTGGGGCAGCGCCGTTCTCGGCCTTGCAGTTCTTGCCCAGGCGCTCCCGGGCGCGCTCGATCTCGTCGAGCTGGGCGCGGAGCTCGGCCTCCCGCTGCGGCTTCGACGCGAGGGCCTGGCGCTGGCACTCTTTGAACGCCTCCTCCTGCTGCTGCGCGAGCTCGGCACGCTGGGCGACCGTCGCAGCGTGGGCCTCTTCCTGCTGCGTGGTGGGCAGCTCAGCCTGGGCTTGCAGCGCCTCCAGTAGCTCGCGATACTCGTTGGGGTACTCCTCGAAGTCGGCCTCGAGCTCAACGTCGATGGCGAAGTCGACGAGCTGGACTTCAGGCTGGGGCGGCTCGGGCTGGGGCGGCACCACACCCTGCTTAGCCGCCACCTCGCGGATAGCCGCCTGCTCTGCCTGGTTGCACCTGCCGACCTCTTCCATGCAATCGTCCACGCGCTGTGCCAACCTCGCCAAGGTGGCCTGCGCCGCCGCGTGCTGCTCAATGGCAGTCTTAATCGCCTACGCCTTGGACTTGGCGATGTTGGCTGCCTGCAGCTTCTCATCTGGCAGCGGGTCCCGCGGCGGCGGCTTCGGCGACGGGGGGGCGAGATCTCGGTCTTGAACTTGGCGACAAGGGCGGCCCGCTGCGAGTTCGCTGCCGCGAAGGCGTCGAGCGTTCCCAGGAGGGCCTTGTCGGTGTCGGCCGCAGCGGCGCCGCCATTGTGCCCGCGCCAACCGCGGCCCAGCGGCGCTTCCGCGTGCGAGCAGGCGGCGTCTTGTCGGCGCTGGCTTCCAACCGCCGCCACTTCTTCCGCCAGGTGATGTGCACACTTCCCCAGGTACTCCAGACTTCGTGATAAAAGGGAGGGGGTCTGGACCCTCCAAGACAAGCCATTTCAGACCTCCCCCGTGGGAGAACCCTCCAAAACATCGTCCCCAGACCCCCCCAAGCCCTCCAAGATAGGCTGGAAGAGACCCGCCCCGAAATGAGACCCCCCTCCCTTTATTACGAAATCTGGAGTAGTGGCCACGCCACTCGCGACAAAACTTCCGCTTCTCGGGCAGCCGATCCCGCGTCCAGCTCCGGCACGAGTCGCACGCCCTGTACGTGTCGAGCGATGGCCCCCCTGCCATGTCGACGACCCGTCGTGGTACAGTGCTGCAAGCGGCAGCTCTTGCTCCTCCAGGAGCTCGCAGAGAAAGCAGACTGGCCCACGCAGGGCGGAAGCTGGGGGTCTGGCCGCGGCTTCACGGTATCCCTTCTGCCTGGTGGCTGAACAGCCTCCCAGGAAGGCATCTTGAGCCCACATGGCTACTGCGGAGGAGGAGGAGGAGAGAGGACCAGTGTAGACTCAAGACTCACAAACGATATTGCAATACATCCTCCCTCCAAGTTCCTTCCCGCTTCATAGGCCCCTACGAGGGTTCATTTTCACTGAAGGAAATGGCCCGTTGGAAAACAACGATTTGAATCTCTTGACTCATTGCGCCTTGACGATCTTGAGTCGTGCCAAACACCGTTCCTGGGAATGCAACACCGCGAATCAGAACTGTTGTACCCTTGCAATCCGACCTCGTGCTCAAACACCGTTTTTGGAACGTGAACAACGAGAGCCCTTGGAATTGTTGTACACTGTTTAAGCGAATTTGCGCGGCGCTCAAGCGAGCGCCGCATTTTGAAAAGGAGCCGCCCCCCCAACCGTGAAGCTCTTGCAACTTGTGAAGACGAGTGTGTGCGGCGCTAAAGCGAACACCGCATTTTGAAAACCACCCGCCCTCCATCCGTGAAGTTCTGGGGAGTTGTCAAGTGAAGGATCATGAATGGTGAGGGGGTCTCAAGCGAAATGCCTGGCCCGCCCTACCAACACGCCACGGGGTGCGACAAGGAGGAATGTATTTATACGGAAGGAATGAAACGGGGTACAGGAGGAGGAGAAGGGAGGAGAGAGGAGGAGGACAGGAGGAGAAACACGTGCGGGAGGAGGAGATGCTATCAACGATGGCGACAGGAGGAGCACGGCATGAACGGTGCAAGGGGGCGGGGAGAAACGCTGCGGGAGACCGATGAAGCGGGGTGCGCGGGGTGCGCGGGGTGCGCGGGGGGCGGAGGAGGAGGAGGAGGAGGAGGAGGAGGAGGAGGAGGAGGATGAGGAGGAGGAGGAGGAGGAGGACAAGCGTAAACCCAAGACCCATCCACGATGTTGCGATAACCTCTCCCTCCAAGCTCCCTCTTCACAGGCCCCTGCAAGCATCCATAGTCACTGAAGGACATGCCCCACTGGAAAACAAACGTCTGAAAATCCTGAAGTGTGCCAGAACTCCATTCCTGAGACTTCAGCGCTGCGAACCACCGTTGCTGCTGCGTCTTGATGATCCTGATGTGTGCCACAACGCCCTTCGTGAGACCTCAACACCACGAATCATACTAACAATTGCGCCCTGACAGTCCGACATCGCAACAAAGCGCACTTCCTGGGACGTTAGCGACGTGTGTCTTTGAAGCTGTTGTACACTCTTGAAGCGACTGTGCGCGGCACTATAGCGAGAACCGCACGTTGAAAACTCCGTGAGTCCGTTGCAACTCTTTTCGGACGAGTGCGCGCAACGCTTGGTCGAGAGCCGAATCTAGAAACCGACCCACCCTCCATCTGTGAAGCTCATGCATTTGTTCAGGAGGAGGAAGAGGCGGAGGAGGAGGAGGAGGAGGAGGAGGAGGAGGAGGACACGAATGTGCGCGGCGCTAAGGGGACCACTGCATCTTGAGAACCACCCGCCCTCCGTCCGTGGAGCGGGTGACTTGTCCGCTTGAGGATCATACAATGGTGAGGCGGTCTCAAAACGAAACGCCGGGCCCGCCCTAGCGACACACCCCTCTCCTCCTCCTCCTCCTCCGCGTCCTCCTCCTCCTCCTCATTATCTTCCTTCTCCTCCTCCATCCTCCTCCTCCTCTTCCTCCTGCTCCTCCTCCCCCTCCTCCCCCTCCTCCTCCTCCTCCTCCTCCTCCCTCGGGGTGCGGCAAGAAGTAATTTGGTCGTACGGAGCAGGAATGGAGGAGGAGAGGGGAGGAACGACGAGGATAAGGAGAAGCAGTGAAAAGCAAAGATCCAGCAACCATGTTGCGATAAACCCTCGCCCCAGGTTCCCTCTTCATGCGCCCCATACACAAGGTCCATTTTCACTGATGGAAATGGCCCGTTGGACGTCAAACGCTTGAACATCTTGCCTGGGACAACGCCGCGAATCACCTCTACTGTTGCGTCTTGACGATGCTGAACCGTGCCAGAACACCATTCCTGGGATTTCAGGTAACAATTGCGCCCTGACCGTCCGACATCGTGCCCAAACACTACCATGGGGATGCTAACCATGAGAGCCCTTGGATCTGTTTTAAGCTGGTAAAAAAATGTGCGCGGCGCAAAGCCGAGAGAGACATCATTTTGAAAAGGGCCCGCCCTACATCTGTGAAGCTGTTGCAAATTTAAGACAAATACGTGCGCCGCTTAGGCGGGAACCGCATTCTGAGAACGACCCACCCTCTATCCGGGAAACTTTTGCAAACTTTTGAAACGACTGTGCGCGGCGCTGGACCGAAAACTGCATTTTGAAACCCTCCCGCCGTCCATCCGTGAAACGTTTGGAAATCTTCAGCTTAAGGTTTAGAAGCGGTGGAAAAACCTCAGGCGAAACGCCCGGCAGGCCCTTTCGACCTGCCTTGGGGTGCGAAAGGGAGGAGTTGCTTACTTAAGGACAAGTACTGGAGGAGCAGAACGAAGAGGAGGAGGAGGAGGAGGAGGAGGAGGAGGAGGAGAAGGAGGAGGACCAGTGGAAACCCAAGAGTCATCAACGATGTTGGAATTAACCCTCCCTCCTAGCTCCCTCTTTGCAGGCCCCTACAACGGTTCATTTCCATTGAGGGAACTGCCTCATTGGAAGACAACAGTCGGAAGATCCTGAAGCGTGCCAAAAAAATGCTCTCGGGATTTCAACGCCACGTATCAACCTGACTGCTGCGTCTTGACGATCCAGAATCGTGCCAGAAAGCCATTTTTGGGACTTCACCACAACGAATCAACATAACTGTTGCGCCCGCATGGTCTTGAATCCTTCCAAAACGCCATATCTGGTACACTGGTTATGGGAATCCGTGAAACCCTTGCAACTTAAAAAAACGAGTGTGCGCGGCGCAAAAACGAAAACCACATTTTGAAACAACACCGCCCTCAATCCGTGAGACTCTTGCACATGTTTAAAACGAATGTGCGCGGTGCTAAGGCGAGAGCCAAATTTTGAAAACCACCCGCCCTCAATCCGCAAAGCTCTCACAAATTTTAAAGCGAATGTGCGCGGCGCTAGGGCGAGAACCACATTTAGGAAAAAACGCCATCAACCCGTGAAACTCTTACACATTTTTAGAACGAATGTGCGCGGCGCTCAAGCGAGAGCCACATTTTGACAACGACCCGCCCTCAATCCGTGAAACCCTTACAACTTTTTTCAACGAATGTGCGCGGCGCTAAAGCGGTAACCACATTTTGAAAACCACCCGCCTTCAATCCGTGAAACTCTTGCACATGTTTAAAACGAGTGTGCGCGGCGCTAAGGCGAGAGCCACATTTTGAGAACCACCCGCCCTCACTCCGTGAAACTGTTCTCACTTTTGAAGCTTCGCAATCATAAATGGCGGGTAAGTCTCAGGCGAAACGCCCGGCTCGCCCAAAAAACTGACCTCGGGGTGCGACAGGGAGGAGTTCTGTAAGGAGAAGGAATGGAGGGAGGAGAAGGAGGAGGATAAGGAAGAGGAGGAAGAGAGGATGAGGAGGACCAGTGGAAACCCAAGAGTCATCAACGATGTTGGAATTGACCCTCCCTCCAAGCTCCCTCTTCGCAGGCCCTTACAACAGTTAATTTCCATTGAGGGAGCTGCCTCGTTGGAAAACAACAATTGGAAGATCCTCAAGCGTACCAAAACATTGTTCTCGGCATTTCAGCGCCACGTATCAACCTGACTGCTGCGCCTTGGCGATCTAGAACCGTGCCGGAAACCCACTCCTGGGACTTCAACACAGCGAATCAACATAACTGCTGCGCCCGCATAATCCCGAATCCTTCTGAAACACCCTTTCCGGTGCATTGATCATGGGAATCCGTGAAGCCCTTGTTTTTTTCTGAAAGCGAATGTGCGCGGCGCTAAGGCGAAAACCACATTTTGAAAACGACCCGTCCTCAATCCGTGAAGCTCTTGCACATCTTTAAAGCGAATGTGCGCGGCGCTAGGGCGAGAACCACATTTTGAAAACGACCCGCCCTTAATCCGTGAAGCTCTTGCAATTTTTTGAAGCGGATGTGCGCAGCGCTAAGGCGAAAACCACATTTTGAAAACGAACCGCCCTCAATCCGTGAAGCTCTTACAAATGTTTGAAGCGAATGTGCGCGGCACGAAGGCGAGAACCACATTTTGAACACCACCCCCCCTCAATCCGTGAAGCTCTTGCATATTCTTAAAACGAATGTGCACGGCGCTAAAGCGAGAACCGCATGTTGAAAACGACACGCTCTCAATCCGTGAAGCTTTGGCACATTTTTACAACGAGTATGCGCGACGCTAGGGCGAGAACCACATTTTGAAAGCGACCCGCCCTCCATCTGTGAAACGGTTGTTATCTTAAACTTCAGAGTCGTGAATGGTGATGAAATCTCTGGCGAAACGCCCGGTCCGCCCTAAAAACTTGCCTCGGGGTGCGACCGGGAGGAGTTATCTATAAGGAGAAGGGATTAAGGAGGAGGAGGAGGAGGAAGAGGAAAACGGGGATGACGAGGAGGAGGAAGCGGAGAAGGAGTAAGAGGAGGAGCAGGTGGAGGGGGAGGAGGAGGAGGAGGAGGGGGAGGATAAGGAAGACTCGGATTTTTATTAGCGCGTGGGCCAACGTCAAGCATTGGCTTCGAAGAACGGCGTCGCCGAACGACGAGGCGGCTGAGCGAAAAGGGGACCGACCAAAGAAACAAGGACCGAAACCACGAGGGGCCGCAGTCAAAGTGCCAGACCTCCCCCTTCGGGGGGGAGCCAGCGCGGGCACACGAGCCAAGCGATGCTGGGAACCACTGGAATTCCTAAAAAGGGTTCCTAACAACGATGCTGAGGAGGAGGACGAGGAGGAGGAGGAGGAGGAGGAGGAGGAGGAGGAAGAGGAGAAGGAGGAGAAGGAGAGGGAGGAGAAGGAGGGAGGGAGGAGGAGAAGGAGGAGGATAAGGAAGAGGAGGATGATGAGGAGGAGGAAAAGAAGAAGGAGGAGGAGGAGGAGGAGGAGGAAGAGGGGGATGATGATGCGGAGGAGGAGCAAGGTTGAGGAGGATGAGGAGGAGGAGGGGGAGGAGGAGGAGGAGAGGGAGATGAAGATTGGTGGAGATGATGAGAGATGATGATGATGATGATGATGATGATGTATGATGATGATTGATGATGATGATGATGATGATGATGATGATGATGATGATGATGATGATGATGATTATGGAGGAGGAGGAGGAGGAGGAGGAGGAGGAGGAGGATGAGGATGAGGAGGATAAGGAAGAGGAGGAGGAGGGGAAGAGAGGAGGAGGAGGAGGAGGAAGAGGAGGATTAGGAGGAGGATGAGGAGGAGGGGGAGGAAGAGGAGGAGGAGGAGATGGAGGAGGAAGAGGTGGGCCAGCAGCACGCTGGAAGAGGCGGAGGACGACGAGGACGAGGAGAGCGGCCTCGCTGTGAGGACGAGCAGCCGCACCCGGCTGGCCTCCGCGCGCAACGAGACCGTCGCCGCGTACGGGCACCTCGGGCCACAGGCGCGCCGCGCCCGAGGTGGTGGGCTTGGTTTCCACCCCCACCACCATAAGTAAGACTGGGAGGGGGTCCTCCTCCTCCTCCTCCTCCTCCTCCTCCTCCTCCTCCTTCTCTCCTCTCCTCCTCCTCCTCCTCCTCCCCCCCTCCTCCTCCTCCTCCTCCTCCTCCTCCTCCTCCTCCCTCCTCCTCCTCCTCCTCCTCCTCCTCCTCCTCCTCCTCCTCCTCCTCCTCCTCCTCCTCCTCCTCCTCCTCCTCATCGTCCACCTCCTTCCCCCCTTCAACTTATGGTGTTGGTGGTGGAAGACAGGCCCATCACGAGGAGGGGGACCGCGATCTGGCTGAGTCGAACGGGTGGTACAATCGAGCTGCTGCAGTACCCATCGGTCGGAAGAAGTAGGTAGAACCATGAAGTAGGAAGGCGTTGAAAGCAGATTTGGTCTCCGCCCGCCCCTGGAAGAGGAGGGAACAGGAGAAGCCACTCGATCATTGAAGTAGGACGGCGCCTAAAGTATACTGGAATCTGGGAATTCAAAAATACATACTTTCAACGACCGCTGGGTAAGGAACGCCAGACGAGGAACGAAGCCTCTGTTTGGCACCAGGAGAGCCTGGGTGCACGAGCAGCGCTACAGGAGCTAATCACGGACTGACCTACGGAACAGCGAGCCCCTTCTGGACCCACGGCTGTCCTAACTTCAGCGTCGTGGCTGTAGCGGGAGTGACCTGCGTGAGAGGTGAAGAAGAGGGCCCACAGGGGGTCCTTTCTCCACCCCCATTGACGTCACCCCCCACTACCACCCCCCCCCGAGTCGAGGGGGCCGCGGAGCAAACCTGGTGGGGCGTACAAATGGCGATGTCCGAACCCAACCGTGAACCCTGAGATCCTGGCGCTGCAATCTCTTCACAACGGGCGCCTTTCCGCCAGATCCCGAGCCCCGGGACCCTCACGGATCGATCCGGCTCGAACACGGCGCAGGAAGACGGGGTCTCTAGGGCTCCGGTCGTGGTTCTTTGTTGCGGTGCCGTGCAGGTGGCGACGTCCGAATCCTGCGGCCGCCTCCCGCTGCCGGAGCGGCACGCCCGAAGTCAGTGACGGACAACATGGGTGCAGTGCCCAATGTCAGGTGTTGTCTAAATCCGACAGCGGCCGCAGTTGGGCAGGAGACTTCTTGTCTCAAGTGGACAACATCTGCGGCGACATCGACCGCGATTCGTGTTCAGGATGGACAGGAACTGCTGTCGGCCTTCGTCCCCATCCTATCCGTACCCATGTCGTACCGACCGAATGGCTAGGTAGCGACATCCGAACCTTACCCCCACCAACCATCTATTCTCCTGAATCGATTGGAGGCAGGGGTAGGGTTCGGATTTCGCCTCGTGTTCCATCGAGTTGCCTATGAAGAAAATCCTGGAGGCGCGCGCAGCAACTTAAGACCCGATTTACGTCGGATCCACGTCGGATTTACGTCGGATTCACGTCAGGTTCACGTCGGACTACGTCGGATTTTCGTCGGACTGACGCCGGAGCATTGCCACGCAAACGTCGACCCATAGCTTACGGAGCTGACGTGTGGACAAGATAATACTACTATTGCGCGCCACGCGAGGCCTGGAGGATTTTCCTCATAACTAGTCGTTGATCGGCGGAGGTAGTGCTCAAATTTCGCCGCCGAATAGATACCGTGAGATCTGGGCGCCGCATTTTCTTCACAGCGGGCGACTTTGCCCGGTCTCGGGCCCAGGGACCCTCGCGCATCGACCCGGCTCGAAGCACGCCGCAAATTTGGACGCCAGAAATGGGTACGGAAAGAATGGGTACAATGCCCAACAGCAGTTCCTGTTCATTCTGAACAGGACTCGCTGTCGGTGTCGCCGCGGCCTGTGTCCATTTGAGACAGAAGGCCGCCTGCCCAACAGCGGCCGCTGATGGTTTGGGACAACATTTGTTGTTGGGCGTTGTACCCATTCTTTCCGTACCACTTCGGGCGTCCAGAGCAGAGAGCTGGGGTCCGGGGCCCTGGTCGTGACTTCTTCGCGATGCTGCGCCACTTCGCGGGCACCGGGCGCCAGGTCGAGGCGGGGGACCGAGACCGGGAGGTCTTTCTGCCGAGCCCCCACCACAAGACCGTGCGGTGACGGAGCGCGCGGTGACCACGGCATCCCCAGCGGCCTCGCCGCGCGGTGCGTCACCGCAGAGGTCTACCACACCGTGCGGAGCCCCCGACTTTTGCTCAGTGTATCGCGGCGGCGGCCCCGGCGATAGGCTGTGCCCTGCCAGCGGATAGCGTGCCGCTCCTCTCTGCGGGGCGGGAGGCTGAGAGAAGCTCTTGACGTTGATGGTCGGGGACTGGGGCGTGGATGGCGTGTCGCGCCGAAGCGTGGTGGTCCAGGACCAGCGGCGCGACGCGCTAAGCCAACTTTCTGACCCTACTCCGAGCTTCTTGATAAGCGTCGGGTGGGGCGTCACCCCCGCCGACAGCCCCACGTCGACCGCCGTCGCGGGCAGCCACCGCTCGCCGAAGGCGCTCCGACCCCCGTCGCGGCGCGACGACGAGGCGAGGTTGACCCCCGTCGGGGGGGATACCCCCCCCACGCTTATTAAGAAACCCAGAGTACTCTGGCCCCACGTGAGAGGCCTGGAGACTTGTAGGAGACCGAGGGGCGGCACGAGCGCAGGCTTTCGGAGGCCCACGCAGATTTCTTGGGTCGGCGCCAGACCCCTCCCCAACACTCTTGACGTCCTCGCACTATTTGAGTGCTCAACTGGCGAGTCCTGGTGCAATGTCCAATGCAAGCCTTCGCCAAGTGCAAAGCGCAACGCAGAACACAGTCACGATACGCGGCAAGCTCGACAGGTCGCTGACAGGCGAAGCACGTGCTAGGCCCTGCGTACTCTCGGGAGAGAGCCGCTCGCAGCAAGGAGAGATCTCATCCCCACAGCCCTTCCCTGGCCTGCGGATGCGCCGCTGGAGGTGGGGGAAAAGTTCAGCGCCGACCCGAGAATTCTGCGCGGCCCTCCGGAAATGAGTGCTTACTCTGGGTTTCTTAGTAAGCGGGGGGATGGTACCCCCCAACGTGGGTCAACCTCGCCTCGTCGTCGCGTCGCGACGGGGGTCGGAGCGCCTTCGGCGCGCGGGTGGCTGCCCCGACGGGGGTCGATTTGGGGCTGTTGGCGGGGGTGGCGCCCCCCCATGCGTATTAAGAAACTCAGAGTATGCAGCTTTGTCAGGCTCGAACTTAAGAGGCGCACGAATGTTTATGGCGAAGTTGACTTATCTGCCACCCTGTCCGCTGCCGCGTCGTGGCGTGGCAGATTGCCAAGTGCTGTCTGGTAGGATTTCGTCACGCTCAGCCGTGTGCATGATGGCCCGGCCCGGCCCCCTGGGCGGTCGGAAGCTTCCCTGGGGATCTCCACGGTCCTCCAAGGCTTCCAAAACTGCCCGGGAAAGCCATCCTGGCCGCCAAGATGGCTCAACGGTGGCTCAGTGGGGCACCCAAAAAAAGCCCGTAGAGGACCTCAAGAGGCCCCCCAAAGGAGGAGGAGGAGGAGGAGTCCAGCCAAGAGGACCAGCATCACTCGAAGACCCACCGACCTTCTCAGTGCTCGGCCCTTTTTTTACGTTCCTGCGCCTCGCGGCTCCACGGCTCGAGGAGGGCCCCTTGGGGAGCCAGGGAGAGAGAAGCCGAAGGAGCCCACCGAGGTCTTTCAGCAGCTCCTCCTCCTCTTCCTCTTCTTCTTATTCTTCCAACTCCTCTTGTCGGGGTTCGGTGGACTGCGAGGCGATCCCGTCCCAAGGTAACTCGTCCAGTCGGTCGCATTCCTATCTGGGTACCATCCCCAGGAGCTCCATCCGCACGATCTCATCCACCAGCCGTCCTCGTACCAGCTGGTGTCGTAAGTCGACCACTCTGCACCTTGAGCCGGCCGTCTTCGAGAAGCGGCGACTCGCCAGTCTGGTGGGACGTGGGCTGGATCCGACGATGAGGCCGCCGTTCGCTGGGCTGGGGCGTCCTCCCCCGTGGTCTGAGCAGCTCCGTCTGCTGTGGTAGCTGCGTCTGGTGGGCGATCTCCCGTGCCCGACTCTGGATCTCCCTGCTGCCCCTCGGCCACAGCTCCGCTACCACTGTCTCACCGTCAGAGGGGGGCACGGGAAAAGAGGGGTCTGAGGGGGCGAGCGGGTATCTTTGTCCAGGGACAAAGAGATCCGCAAGCCAACGGCTGCAGTCACGAGCTGAGCCGACTTCTGGCATTATCCCGAAGCGAGAGGCGAACGAGAGGGAGATAGGGAGAGAAAGAGAGAGGGAGAGAGAGAGAGAGAGAGGGAGAGAGACGAGAGAGACCCCAGGACCTCGGAACCCAAGGGAGAGGGCCGCCCGGGAAAAGGGGGGACAGAAGGGCCGTAGCCCTCAAGTGGCGATGAGGATCTTAGGTAACGAAAGGTTCAGGCAACGTGCGCGTGAGTTCCTCCGCCTTGTTCTGACATGCGAGGAGGAGGAGGCGGAGGAGGCGAAGGATGAGGAGGATGATGATGAGGATGATGCTGCTGATAATGATACTGATAATGATGATGATGATGATGATGATGATGATGATGATGATGATGATGATGATGATGATGGTGATGATGATGATGATGATGAGGAGGAGGAGGAGGAGGATGACGATGATTTGATGATGATTTGATGATGAGGGTGGTGATGATAATGTTGATGCTGCTGATGGTGATGATGGTGGTGACGACTGTGTGGATGATGCTGATGATCATGGGGATGAGTAGGAGGAGGAGGAGGAGGAGGAGGAGGAGGAGGAGGAGGAGGAGGAGGAGGAGAGGAGGAGGAGGAGGGGAGAGGAGGAGGAGGAGGAGGAGGAGGAGGATTGAGAATGACGAGGATGAGGAGGATGATGAGGAGGATCGAGGAGGAGCAGGATTGAGGAGGAGGAGGAGATGGAAAAGGAGGATTGAGGAGGAGGATTGAGGAGGAGGGAGAGCGAAACACCGACGAGGAGCCTCGCAGATCCGCCTCGCGCGCGCGGCCGCCCGTGGTGGGCAGGGGCTGGGCCGCCGAGGTCTGGGGCGCGCGCTCCCGGGGGCCGTGGAGCACGCCGAGCCCGAACATCTGCGGGCCGTCGCCGCTGCCGCTGGGCCAGGCGACGAGGAACGACGACGAGCGAACGACGACGAACGACGACGAACGACGACGACGAACGACGACGACGAACGACGACGACGACGCCGACACCGCCGCCGCCGCCGTCGACATCGTTGTCGTCGTCGTCGTCGTCGTCGTCGTCGTCGTCGTCGTCGTCGTCGTCGTCGTCGTCGTCGTCGTCGTCTTCGTCACCATCGTCGTCGTCGTCGTCGTCGTCGTCGTCGTCGTCGTCGTCGTGGTGGTCGTCGTCGTCGTCGTCGTCGTCGTCGTCGTCGTCGTCGTCGTCGTCGTCGTCGTTGTGGTCGTCACCGTCGCCGCCATCCAGGGCTTGGCCAACACGTTGCTTTGGCAACCGCGTGAATCGTTGTCGTTCTCCCTTCGCTCTCATTCTGCTTTCATTCGCTGGCCTGCCATTGGCCGATGCACGGCTTCGGATTTGTGCCAAGGTCCGATGCACGCCATTGGCCGTTGCACGCTGTTTTGGCAAATCGTTCGGAACGTTTTCGTATTGAAACGCCTCCATGTGAAAACGAAGCGAAACCGCGCAACGCTGGTTTGGTCAACCCCTGCCGCCGCAGTCGTCGTCGTCGTCGTCGTCGCCGTCGTGGTCGTCGTCGTCGTCGCCGTCGTCGTGGTCGTCGCCGTCGTCGTGGTCGTCGTGGTCGTCGTGGTCGTCGTGGTCGTCGTGATCGTGGTCGTGGTCGTGGTCGTCGTCTTCGCCCGACGAGATTCCAGGGAGGGTGTCGAATTTTCTTTTCTGTTTTCGCTTTTCGGGCCTCACGGCGCCACCAGAGGCCTCCGGGGGGCTCTGCAAGATCTCCGAGGGCCTCTGGGCACCTCCAGAGGCACCCAAAGACCTCCGGAGGTCGCCGCCGGCGCACTTGTCGCCGTCGCCGCCGCCGCCGCCGTCGCGCTCGCCGTCGCTGTCGCCGTCGGCACATCGTCTTCGGATCGACCTTCGACAACGACGCGTTCCCACGGAGCTCTTTTTGCGGGCCTCCAGGGGCACTGGAAGGCCTCCAGGGAGGCCTCCCGAAGCCAGTGAGGTGGGGCCCCCTGGAGGCCGGCCCTCGACCCCCACCGCTCGCGCGGAGGCCGCCAGGCTGTTGGGCATCGTTTATCCGACCCCCCTCCCCAGCGGCGTGGCCTGGGCCCCACTGGCCGATTTACCCCCCTAGATAGGGATATAGGCCCTTCCCTTCGGGCTTCGAGGGTTAGTATCCCCGACTGGGGCGGTGATTTGGTGGGGGTCTCGAAGGGGATGATGATGGGGGGGGGGTCGGTTGAACGAGGCTGAGTCATGGGGCCGCAGGGGCTGGGGTCGGAGGATCGAGCCGCACTCCCCGACGCATCGGCGACGTCGGGTTGAGGAAGCAAAAGGGCTCCCGATCGCGCCGCATCGCCGATGCGGCGCACCTCTCCGACGCCACCCGCGCCGGCCGTTGCCCGTCCTCCAGCCCGCGGGGCCGGATCTGAGCGGTGGCGCCGGGGCGCTGGTAGGCGCGAGCACGTGCGTGGAGAGAGGTCGCCAGGCCCAATCGGATGCAACTGGCGGAGGTGGGGTCCAGCGAATCGCCTCCTCCTCCTCCTCCTCCTCCTCCTCCTCCTCCTCCTCCTCCATGGGGCCTGGAAGGTCGCACCATCGTCCCCCGCGCGGCTGCGCGAACCACCAGCCCGCCCACAGACGTCCCGAGTTTACAGCGCTTGCGTGGCTTCCTGCCCCTCCCTCCTCCAGGGCTGAGTGACACGCGTCGCCACGGACTGGTCCCTCTTCCTCCTCTCCTCTTCACGCGATAGAGGCCTCCTAGACGGGGTCCGAGTAGACGTGGTCGAAGGATCGCGCCGCATCGCCAATGTATCGGCGATGCATCCGCGACGTCGGCGATGCATCGGCGACGTCGGCTTGGAGAAGCACGGGCTCCACATCGAGCCGCATCGTCGATGCATCGGCGATGCGGCGCGATCCTCCGACCCCACCTGCTCCGACACCATCTAGGAGGCCTAGAAGAGGCAGGGGCGGCCTGGGGCGACTTCTTCTTTTTGCACCGACCGCTCAGGAAGGCCCCGCCGCGTGCGGGGCCAGCGCCGGCGCCGTCAGGCATCCGCCTCGTCCGGCAGCGCGTCCAGGACCGCCGCGCTCGCGGCCTCGAACTTGACTATGTGCTTGCCGGGCACCATGCACAGGGGCCCTAAGGACCGGTGCACCTGCTCGCCCTCGACCGTCCGCGTCTCCTGCACGTTGATCAGGATGGCGTTCTGCAGCTGGTCGAAGCACCACAGCCGCCCCGAGATCATGCGCCCGTCCGTGATGCTGATGCGGACCGGCGTGTCCATGAGCCTCTTCATGACGGCCTTGGCATTTGCAGCATCACCCACGGCGCTGATGGCGGCCTCGACATCCGCTGCCGTGCCTTGACGCTCGGGCACCGTTTCAGCGTCAGTCGCCATGATGCCGCGCCGCGCGCGCGCGCCAGCCACCCTGAGCCACGATTGCTACGGAACCGAGGTCAGAGGAAGGGGGAGGAGGAGCAGCAGAACGAGGGGAATGACGACGAGGCGGAGGAGAAGGAACAGCAGCAGGAGGGAGGCACTCTTAGCCACTGGAGGTCGCAATGAGGGCATGACTTGGCCATGTGCTGGGCTTCAATTGCGCAATGCCCTGTATACGTTGCCATTTTCAGGACTCGGGTGCAGCCAGACCAAGGCCAGAAAAAGCATCCCTCAAGAACACGGGGCCCTCCGCTGGCAAAACACACACAGAACATGCAATGGTATATCCTCCCCAGGATGCACGAGGACATTCAAGAAACACGAAGAACATCAGGGTACCCTCCCCGAACCGACCTCGATCTTATACCTCGGTCCGACTGTATTCGGGGAGGCCAGGAGGGGGGCGTCCAATACGGGGGGGCGCAAATCATGGCCGGCGGCATGTGCGCGGCCCAAGGGGGGGCCCGGGACGCACTGAAAGAAGAAGAGGCGCCATGAGTTCTGGGGAAATATCGTGGCCCACGCCGTGAGATCCACCCCCTCTAGTCGTCACCCCCCTCTGGAGGCTGTCTTGGGTACCCCGTGGGCCGCCAGGGGCGCCTCAGGAGCCGTCCTAGGGCCATCTTGGGACCCTTCATGGCCGTCTTGGACGCTACGAAGAGGGCAAGCCCAGGAACTGCCAAACTGTACGTTTTCCCGAGGGAGTGGGAACATGTTTCGGTGTTCGGGCTCTCTTGGGGCTCGTCGTGGAGCCCACTTGGAAGACGCGGTAGTGCGTGTGGTTCGCGGGAGAGCTCCTGGCCGCCCCCGACAGGTGGCCGGCTCCGAAAACCTGAGCCTAAAAACGCTGCCACCACTTCGGGGGCTGCCGCCCGCTCCCGCCGAAGCTGTCCGCCGCCGGTTCCACACCCTCGCTCCGCCTCTTCGCGCTGGCTTCAGGTCGGGCATGCCCCCTACAGGCGGATTTTGAACGACAAATGCAAGATTGTCAAAGAAAATTCAAACATAGCGAAAAATAGTCCAAACATCGTCCCCATACTTTTTATATTAATATATAAACAACTACTTTTGGATACTCCTCCTGCAGAGGGACAGGCCCGACGTAAGCGCTGGCCTCCGCGGACTCGCCGCCGGCTTCTGCCAAGGCGCGTCTGCCAGCTTCCAGGCTCTCCGAGGGCGAGGCCGCTTCTGGAGCCCCCATTAGCAGGGGCGCGCCCCTGGGGGGGGGGGATCCGCGCCCTGGGGGGCCCTTTCGGCACGGCAAGTCTCTCTCTCTCTCTCTCTTTCTCTCTCCCGACGGAGGCCTGCGCAACGGAGGGGGGTCCGATGCTGCTGCTGCTGCTACTCCCCCTCCTCCGTCCTCAGCCTTTCTCCTTCCTCCTCATTAGAGGGCACACAATCCACCCCCATCATAATCATCCCGGCACGCGAAGCCGTGTAGTAAACGCACCCCCAGAAGGAATCGAAAAGGGCAAGGCTCCTTCGTAAACGCCCAAAGCCGTTCAAACAAACTTTCCTCGAGAATAGCTCGTCCTCGCCTCTCCGCCCCCTCCCTCCTCCTCCTCCTCCTCCTCCTCCTCCTCCTCCTGCTCCTGCTCCTCCTCTTCCTCCTCCTCCTCCTCCTCCGCCTCCTCTTCCTCCTCCTCCTCCTCCTCCTCTCCTCCTCCTCCTCTTCCTCCTCCTCCTGCTCCTGCTCCTCGTCCTCCTGGTTATCCTCGTCCTCGTCCTCGTTCTCGTCCTCGTCGTCCTCCTCCTGCTCCTCCTCCTTTCACCGTCTTCCCCTGCCCCCCCCGCCTTAAATCCGAGCAAGGGCTTGCGGCCCATGCCTCCTCCCTCCGGCGGGCCGCGGCGTGGCGCGCAGGCCAGTGCTTGGCGCCAAACAGGGACGGCAGTCGTGGTGGACACTAGCACAGGTTGGCGTGATCATGCCCGTGGGTTCTGCCTTTCCTTCCTTGCCCCTTCTGGCCCCCTTGGGTCCAGTTGGAGGTCTGGTGGCCGGGCGGAGGGTGGAGCAGGGAGGATGGAGGAGGAGGAGGAGGGGGAGGAGGAGGAGGAGGAGGAGGAACAGGAGGAGGAGGAGGAACGCCCTGGAGGCGTGCGGCGGGCGGCGCCGCCTGGCCCGCGTGCAGGCGCTCCACCAGGTGCTCCCCGCGCCCGCCGCCGCCGTGCCCGTGGGGCTGGGCCCGCGCGGCCTGCCGGCGGCGGCACTGCCGTCGGGGCCGACGGCGGCTCGAGGCTGGAGGGCCGAGGACACCAAGGTCGAGGACCGATGTGCAATAGGGGCCCGATCACAAGAAACCTTCCACAAGAAACCCAACCCTGAGGCCACAGGCCGTCCATCGATCTTTGGCGTGGGAACGCCACGCTTTCCATGGCAAAACCATCGAAACCCAGGAAACCCAGGGCATCCTGGAGGCAAGCAGGGTTTCTTGGCATGGGCCCCCACTGGAAGGTCACCACGGTCGAGGACCGAGGGTCCGAGAGGGTCCGAAGAAAACCGCGGGTCCGAGGGCGCGAGGACCGAGGGTCTGAGGGCCCACCGAGGGTCCGAAGATCGAGGGTTTGAGGGTTCGGGGTGCGAGGGTTCGAAAACCCAGGTTCGAGGATCGGAACGCTATGGTTCGAGGACCGGTGTTCGAGGACCGAGGATCGAGGTTCGAAAACCGAGGTTCGAGGTTCAAGGATCGGGGTGCGAGGATCGAGGACTGGGTTTCGAAAGCTGAAGTTCGAGGTTCCTGGATCGAGGTTCGAAGTTCTTGGGGCGTTCTTTCGCTTTAGCTGAGCCTCATGGAAACTACTCGTCGTCACGGCTGAATTGCGCTGGAAATCTCATCAGCCCGCTGTGGAGGCTCCAAAACCGCTTCAAGACGTCTCCAATTGGCCTCGGAGTACTCCCAAGAAAGCCCCCCCAAAGGCTAAAATCCTTCTCAATCCTAAGGGAAACTATTTCCCAACCAACCTTTTGGTGTTGGGTCCTCGTTTTGAAGAGACGGTGGCCCGCGTCTCCTCTCCTCTCCTCCTCCTCCTCTCCTCCTCCCCTCTCCTCCCTGCGCTCCACCCACCCAGTACAGCGTTTCGTGGCCCCATAGGGAGCTCCACCGAAGGCTCCAGTGGCCGCGTTCGCATGGCGGCCCCGCCGCATTTTGGCGCACCCCTCACGAGGATCGTGGCCCCAGAGGGAGCTCCACAGAAGGCCCCAGTGGCCGCGTTCGCATGGCGGCCCCGCCCCATTTCGGCATACCCCTCACGAGGATCGTGGCCCCATAGGGAGCTCCACCGAAGGCCCCAGTGGCCGCGTTCGCATGGCGGCCCCGCCCCATTTCGGCATACCCCTCACGAGGATCGTGGCCCCATAGGGAGCTCCACCGAAGGCCCCAGTGGCCGCGTTCGCATGGCGGCCCCGCCCCATTTCGGCATACCCCTCACGAGGATCGTGGCCCCATAGGGAGCTCCACCGAAGGCCCCAGTGGCCGCGTTCGCATGGCGGCCCCGCCCCATTTCGGCATACCCCTCACGAGGATCGTGGCCCCATAGGGAGCTCCACCGAAGGCCCCAGTGGCCGCGTTCGCATGGCGGCCCCGCCCCATTCCGGCATATCACGAGGATCGTGGCCCCATAGGGAGCCACCGAAGGCCCCAGTGGCCGCGTTCGCATGGCGGCCCCGCCCCATTTCGGCATACCCCTCACGAGGATCGTGGCCCCATAGGGAGCTCCACCGAAGGCCCCAGTGGCTGCGTTCGCATGGCGGCCCCGCCCCATTCCGGCATAACCCCTCACGAGGATCGTGGCCCCATAGGGAGCTCCACCGAAGGCCGCAGTGGCCGCGTTCGCATGGCTGCCCCGCCCCATTCCGGCATGCCCCTCACGAGGATCGTGGCCCCATAGGGAGCTCCACCGAAGGCCCCAGTGGCAGCGTTCGCATGGTGGCCCCGCCCCATTTTGGCGCGCCCCTCACGAAGATCGTGGCCCCATAGGGAGCTCCAGCGAAGGCCCCAGTGGCAGCGTTCGCATGGCGGCCCCGGGCCCCATTTCGGCACACCCCTCACGAGGATCGTGGCCCCATAGGGAGCTCCACCGAAGGCCCCAGTGGCAGCGTTCGCATGGCGGCCCCGCCCCATTCTGGCACACCCCTCACGAGGATCGTGGCCCCATAGGGAGCTCCACCGAAGGCCCCAGTGGCAGCGTTCGCATGGCGGCCTCGGGCCATTTCGGCACACCCCTCACGAGGATCGTGGCCCCATAAGGGAGCTCCAAGGATGGCGCCAGTGGCAGCGTTCGCATGGCGGCCTCGGGCCATTTCGGCACACCCCTCACGAGGATCGTGGCCCCATAGAGAATTCCTCTTGCTTCGTCCTACCTGCCCTGCGGTATTCACGTTCGCATATGGTTGGGTCCTTCGCCAGGATAGTTTTTTTGTTGTTGCTTTTTCCTTCGCTTCCGATGACCTTAGCCTCAAGGTGATCTTTCACGAGGATCCAAGAGCGCTCCAAGGAGGCCCAAATGGCGATCTTAGAGGCTCTAAAAGGGGGGGCGCTAATTCAAGCCTTCTTTGATCGATGTCCTACAAGCAAGATGGCCTCAAGAGGGCTCCGAAGAGAGCCCCAAGAGGCCCCAAAAATGCCTGCAAGAGGTGCCTAAACGGCCCCAGGAAGTGTCAAGAAACACCCCTCGACGGCACCCAATGCGCCCCAAAGGGCCCCGAGACCACCAGGAAACATCCAAGACGACCTAAGAGGCCTCCAAGGAAGCTCCCGGGCATCTAAAAAGTCATTTGCCTTCTACTCGCCCTCCTCCTCCTCCTCCTCCTCCTTCTCCTCCTGCTTCTCATCGGCCTATTACTTCTCCTTCTATCTCCTCCTCCTCCTCCTCCATTTACTTCTCCATCCTCCTCCCCCTCATTCGACAAATAACGGTTGCCCCCTATCTTGTCCTACACTTCCCTGGTCGCCCCAACTCTCCCCCCAGGCATCGTTTCTGGATGGGCTGGTGGGATTATTCTTTTTGGTGCGCGGGCGCGCGAAGCCAAGTCGAACGCCGAGCAAACTCGGGCGGGCCGCGCCGTAGCGAAACAAAAACAGCGAAATGAACAGCGTCGGCCACTGAGCGGAACAAGGCGCGGCGCAATCCAAATGGCGCGGGAGGCATCACAAGCAGGCGCCGAGAGCACGTCCACGAAGATGCCGATTAGGACGCCAGTGTAGGAAGGGCGAGGGGCCGCCCACATGGAAAAACGGCGGCACGACAACCCCAAGACACGATTTGGCGAGGAAAGTGTCGGGGAAGCAGCCACACAGACCCGGCAGCCATGCGGCAGCCAACGCGGCGAGAGGAAAAGAGTCCATGAACATGCCCGCCAGATAAGCTTGTCGAACTCGACGTCCTTGAACCTGAAAGCCTTCTCAGACCAAGAGAAACGAGCAGACGAACACGAAGAGCGGCGTAAAATCCCCGAGCGAACGGGCACGACGCAGCCAAAATGGCGCGGGAGGCGTCACAGCAGGCACAATGACTCGTCCACGAAGGTAACGAATATGAACCGGTGTAGGTTGGAGGAGCGACCACCCACATGCTTGTCAGCGGCACGCCCACTCCAGGACGCATCTTGCCGAGGAAGGTGTCCAACGAGCAATCGTAAGGGCCCAACAAACATGCGGGGCTGGTGGGATTACGCGAAGCATCAGCAATTCTGGTCAACTGCTGTTGTCTGGGGATTCTTTGCGAGGCAATGAAGTGGAGGAGGAGGAAGACGATGAGGAGGAGAGGAGGGGAGGGGTGGAGGAGGTGGAGGAGGAGGTGAAGTATGATAATGAGGAGGGGACGTGATACGCAGACGAGAAGTCTACATCCTCACCGTGCCTGGCAGTGACCATATAGTCATCGTGGGCGGCATGGTGCATACGTCCTCCTGGCCGAAACGCGGAGAGCCTATACACCACACAAGATGGCCCTGGCCAGACATGGTGGTGGTGGTGTGCAGATGTTTCCTTCTGCATAGAGAGGCGCTATGAAACTGAACAAGCTTCTCAATTTGGTTGTACGCTTTTGTGTTTTTCTTCTTGGCTCACTTTGCCTGGCTCGTCGGAAGACTACTAGATTCGAGCCTCGGCGGCTACGGAACGCTTGACACGTTCGTGCTTGCATGCCCACCTGTGAGAGAGCGCGGCCGAAGTGCACTCCCAAGGGGGGGGTCCGTCCTTAACTACCCCCTCCCCTGGAACCTACCTGCCTTGCTGGAAGCCCCCTCCTTCTTTCTTGTGTCCCTCGGAAGCTACCCCCCCTCCTTTTCGCGCTCTGGAAGCTACCCCCCTTTCCAAAAGGACGGGGTCTTAGCTGCACCCCCCCTCCCTTTTGAACTCCCCTTTGCGGACCCCCCCCTCCTTTTTTTGCGCCCCTTGGAAGCTACCCTTCCCCCCTCCCCCCCTTTCGCGCTCCGGGAGCGGCCCCTCCCCTCTCTTTCCAGAAGGGACGGGGGGCTTAACTGCCCCCCCTTTGAACCCCCCCCTGCCGGAAGCCCCCCCCGCCCCCAGCTCCCCCCCGCTTGGGCAAGTGGGGGGAGGGGGCCTCGGAAGACGCCCCTCCCCCTTTGGCGAAAGGCAGAAAGGGCGCAGAAAACCAACAGAGCGCCGAAAACCAAATAGCCACCGAATACCGAGAGAGTGCGAAAACCAGAAGGGCGCCGAAAACCGAGGGAACGCCGAAAGCCGAAAAGGCGCCGAAAACCGAAGGTGCGCCGCAAACCAAAGGGGCGTCGAAAACCAACAGGGCGCCGACAACCAACAGGGGGCCAAATACCAAAAGAGCGCCGACAAAGCAAAGGGGCGCCGAAAACCAGAAGGGGCGCCGAGAGCCAGAGCAACGCCGACAACATCCGACACCCTTGTGCCCTGACAGAACACCTGGGCGACACAACCCGAAGGGAGGTGCCCAAGGTGCCTGCGTGAATTCACATGCAGTCGGACCTCGCGACACGAACGGCGGCACAGACCCGCCCCAGGCGTCGCATCTGCGCCGCCGTTGCGAGGTGCCTCGAGATGCCACCCCGAGACACGGCCACCGGCACCACCCCCACTTGGCCGCCGGCCTCAAGCAGCGGAGGCCCCGTGCCCAGGGACTCAAGTTCCCGCGCCCCCCACGTCGGGGGGCCCCTTCGAGGGGCCCCATCGGGCCTCTCAGGGGTGGTACGGCGGGCCCG